GCGGGAGCCGCCACAGGGATGTCCGGGACTCCTCCTCGGCCACAGACCTTAGCTCTGGGCTGAACCGTCTGTCTCTTGGTCACAGCAGTCAGGACAGTGAGACCGTGGAGGGGCCAGGCTGGAGAACAGAGGGAGGAGGAGAGACGGAGGAGAGGCGCAGCAGTGGCAGCTCAGAGGAGTATTTTGAAGCAGAGGAGAGTCTGGAGGTGCTGGGCAGGACTAGGGGGTCAGTATCAGGGGGGCGCAACTTCTGTGCTAGGTCCAAGTCATGGGACCACGGGGGCAGGGACCTGAGCAGCTCAGGATCCTCTGGGTCCTCCTATAAGTCCTTAGATAACTCCAATGAGTTCCTACCCAGGACCCCACCGCACATTAGAAGAGGACTTTTCATTGAAGGGTGAGTCACACTGGTTTCTTTGCAAAGGGCATAATGGGGTTGTCTTACCTGTTGAAGGAACTTGAAGCTACTCAAACAGAAAACGTCCCAGATAATATTTTACAAGATAATGATGATGATGAGTCACAATCTTTACACTTGATATTCTAATTAGAAAGAAGCAGCAAGTCTTGTCTAATATTTCAGGGGTCCGGACAAGTATACTGTAATACTAGTTGACAAATGCTTAATCAGTTTACAAAAAGCAATTTAAAGGCAGACTGAGTACGATTTTCCAAAAGGAAAAAAAAACTGTATAGACTCAAAACCAATCCAAATAATCCCCTTCGTCACCCACTAGTAGTGTGTGGTGGTGTCTGCAGAGACCCGTACTTTTGCTGTGTCTGGGACTTTTCTGGGCGTCAGCCTGTGTGCAGTGGTAGGTAGTGGCAGTGTGGCCCACAGCCAATAATAACCTGGGTGGGGACTAAAAACGACCAGATTCCAGATCTTAAGCATCCAAGGGGGCTGGTGAGGAGGTTCCAACTTTGAATGTAAAACAAACTGCAACAGACAAATCTGCTCTTAACTGCTATTATTGAAATGTGACAGGCAGCCAGATACAAAAAGGTTTGATGATCCCCCAAACCTTACAAGACTTACAATCATGGTAATACAGTATATTCATCTTGTGTGTTTTTACAGGGATTCACCAAGCAAGTTGGACAGAGAGGTCTGGTCAGCAATAGAAGGCATAGACGTCGACCCCCAGAAGTATCCCAGCATTCAGAAGTGGAAGAGCACAATGAAGTCATACTCTGGATCAGACATGCAGAGGTTAGTAGGCATTTTATTGCAATGCATATTATTTTCTATAGATGGTCTACTGATTTTACTCTGTTTCTAATGCTGTCCTAGTCTAAAAAGAGAGGTTCTCAGTGGCTGATTAAATCCGATTAAAGGTTAAGTACTGTAATACTTATTTATTGTGTGGGGAAACAATTCAGCTTCAGAGTTCATTTTGTCAGAGAAATGCATGGCCTCTGTTGCTAGACCATGATATTATAGACTACATTTTCATGTGTAAAGTTTTCTAGATACACTCATGGTAGATGTACTGTATGCTTCATGCACACAGTTATTGTCTCTCAAATATTCCTGTGTTAAAACGTAAAAGCTTTGAAACGGTAATCAGTTTGTCTGTACCAAGGTTGTTAATAGTCTTCCTACACCACACTGAAATGACTTCTCTGGCCAGCCATCTGAAATGGTGACTATAGGTGGACGATACTGACCACCCGATACTTCGTACTTCAGTCACTTGTTATAGATTGTAATACTCTAGTCACAAGACATTTTTAGGAATTAGTAGTGAGGTGCCAGCCATTGTGAAAGTTTGTGCTCTTCAGGCTTTTCACAAAGTAGTGATGCATGCAGACAAAATCAAAAAATGGAAGAGGCTCTAGGTGAAAAAATGTCAGTGCTATCATCAGCACCAGCATCAGCGTTCTATGACTTTTGTCATGTTTTGTCACCTTTTACATATGAAAGTCAATAAGGCAATAAATCTGAAAGAGCCTGAATCAGCACCAGGTACTGTAATTGTTCATTCACTGGAGTTGATAAACAACCATCTCAACCCTATATAGACTGTTCATTTTGTGCTATAACTGTACTCACTTTTCCTTTCAGTATTAGTACCAAAAGAGCAATACTGTAAATGTAATCGCTGACTGGTGTTAACGTGTGTCATCTAGCTGGCCCAGCCCGGCAGTGGTAAAACCACGACTCAGGATGCAGCATCAGACTCCGGTCTCTCCAGTCAGCGGCCTGATGTCTCCCACCGGTCGCTTCAGTCCCGCCCGGCACGCCGCCTCACCGGACTTCAGCCCCAGCCGTTACAGCCCTGCCAATGCTAGCTACATCCAGCGCATCCGCCTCAAGCACTTGAACGAGCCACCAATCTAACTGCCCACGGCTCTCCCGCCTCCCATCACTTATGGCCATACCCTCGCCAAGATCCCACCCTCTCCTTCCCACTACAAACCCAGCTGCACCAAGGTGGCTACACCAGAGCTCAGAAACCACATACCTAACAGAAATATGCACAAGTGTCTGGAAGATTTGTATTAATGATGTATGGTACTACTCCTATGTAATACAGAAATTCTCATCACGTTGGGTTGTGATGTACACTCAAGACTTTAAAAAGGAAAAAAAGAAACCTTGATAATGTATGTACTGTATGGGTGTGGACCATGTTGAATTGACGGTAATGTTATTTGTGGCAAGTGTGAAGCACCTGTATCATAGCCTGAGTCAACTTTTTTGAATATCGTGAATACAAGTCGCACTCCCCAAAGTTAGTTCATCACTAAAACCATAGTGTGGAATCCTCAATAGGATTCTCTCACTGAAGATGTTCTTAAAAAAAAGTAAAATGTCAATATTTTAAAAGTTATTTTTTGTATGTTGGTCAGTAGCACAAAATTTAAATGTTTTTATTAATGGTGTTAAAACCGACTGCCATTTCCTATGTTTTCCTCAGTTCAGGAATTGCCTTAATTTTCTGAAGTGATGGACCAGTTTCTGTCAGTTTGGACACTCTCTCTAGTTCATACATGAAATATCTGGAAATGGCGACCTCACTGGCTGCATTGGTCACAGATGATTATGGCAAACATGGGAAAAACTGATAAGACTGAGATCTTCCATGTTTTTTTATTTTGTTCTTTAATAAATGCATACATTTTCCATCTTTTCTCGGTGGTTCCTGGACATGTCTTGACTTTTCCTTTCTGCCACTACCTGTGGCCTTAGACTGTGCAATTTTTATTTTTTCTCTGAAATATCATTCATTCACAAGCATCTCCAACAGTGCGAGTATGAATGACAAAACACCAATCAGTAAAGTGTAATTTCAAATTTGTCTTGCCTGGTCTAAACCTTAAAATTGCCCGGTCTGGGACCACCTTAAAGCTGTAGTAAGTGATTTTCAACCACTAGGGGGCAGAAAGACTCCGAAACTAACTCAAGGGGAACAGAACCCTGATATAATTATGAGCTTATTATGACCATCTTGTTAACAAAAACATGCCTTACACATACAGGGAACCCAACTGAGTATCTAGGTAGATGGAGTTGGGCGTTAATTCCCAGTGGGATCAGCAGTACTTAGACCCTTTTCACATTACAAGTAGTTTGATTCAGTGTTAATTTCAAAACTAGCACTTAATAGAGCTTTAATGCCCAAAGTTATGTCATGAATCTCGAAGGTAGTTCAGACTGGCTTAAAGTAAACTCATGTACACATGGCAGGTTCTTGCAGTCCTCCAGAACATGGTGGAATTAGCACAAACCTGCTGTATCCAAATTATTTACAACTTTGGGTTAGAGTCACTGCTGTATGAGAGTTTATCAGCTATGTCTATGACAAAAATAGCCAATCCTTTTGAATATTCAGATTGCCACTCTACTTGAGAGAAACCAGTGTTCTGAATGTAATTTTTTTGTGAACTAAACCTTTATGCGAGAGCACAAACTACTTCACTGAGAAGATTGTATTGTCATCTTTGTGCTCTCAGGTGACAACAGATCTAATTCTGGTCTCTGAATGTTTATGAATGTGGAACTTTGCAAAAATGCACCTAAAAAACTTAAAACATGCTTCTTGTGCTTTCAGCATTCTGTGCTTTATTAAAAAAATAACTTTCATGGTGAATTCTTTCTGTATGTCTAGACCTCATTTGCTTTCAATTAATCAATAAAAACATCACTCCTACTTTGCTGCCGATGTGTCCATGGGCTTTTTCAATTTATTTTAAGGAAAAAAAATGTTGACAAAAACTGAGGCAGTCATTTTCTTTTATTTACTATAGCTGCACCATACAACACATAAACCTCACTTCAGCATACTGTAATGACATGTAAAGCTGAGAGCAAGAGTTGCATTTACAACAGCTATACAAATACAACTTTATTTTGGTTTAAAAATCACGTGTAAAAATCCTGTTACATTCAGGAGGAGTTGCTATGCAGCTGTTAAACACTTCTGCTGGCGTTCTATGGCACAGACGTAAACGTAACCACAGAGTCTCTCATTACATGATGGTAGTTCAATTACAAAGTAATAACAACAGTAATTTTCAAGACACTTAAGGAGAAAACTGAGCTTTGACCCTGCGACCAAATGACTGGGCACCAAGAGTCCCAGAAACCTGCGATATGGTGTGCCATCAGGTCCGTGTTAGTTTGTCCGGGGGCATGAATCCCGAGTCTCCCAGAGTTCTGAGGGCCACCCTGCCGCTAGGGCGGATGGTGAGCCACGTGATGCTGCCGTTGTTCAAGCCCATCCGCAACCAGCCCTCTGGAGGGAACTGCAGAGCCCTGAGAGAACAAAAGCAACTTATGAGCAGCTAAGAATGAGCATCTGAATACTGGATCTATTTTACGTGGCACTTAATAAACTAATAATTTCATTTGTGTGGGACACCGTCTTGTAAATAGTAGCACGGAGTATTTAAAACCCTTAACTAAACGTCCCTTTTAACCAGAAAAGGACAAGCAGTCACCAAGAAATGCATATGTATGTAGCAGCTACAATATTTAAATTAAACAAGGATTTTCATTTAAGGATTCTGTTACAAGCACAATGACACAAGTGAAGCACATATTAAATAAAAGAAAAATTGACACATAATTTAAACACAATGGTTTTGCAAAGCGAGAAAGCCACACTGTAGCCTCGGGCTGAGCCGTGACCACCGAGACCGCCGGCGACACAAACCTGCAGACAAAATAACGGATGACATTGGCATGACACACGATGATCTCGTAGCTGTCCTCCTTCTGCTTGGGGTCGGCCCGGTGGATGTAGCGGCGGAAGGCTGCTTCAATACGCGCTCCGTCTTCGTGGTACTGCTGGAGGATGGTAGAGAGGTTGAAAGCCACCATTGTCACATGAAAGGGTTCTGTTGGAACCCCTCAGTCAGTACAGAGTCAATACATGATGCTGCTGTGCATTGTAGGGAATGTATGAAGAGTTTCATTCCAAAATGAGGCCAACTATATGGAAAACGTTACTTCTGCTAAAGGCTGAATCAGCACTGCTGCACTGCTCTCTTTAGGCAGTATTAGTGGTTACATTCACATTAGTGAATAATAAATTGGTTTTTAGAGTAAGGCATTACTGAATAAAATGTTTACATGGGTTGTTCATAGGATTGTTCCATTAATAATTCTGTTTTCATGCAATAAAGCAAAGGTCATGGAGCTACCATTTTCTAAACTGTTCAAGATACAAACTCAACACAATGCATTTTTGTAGAGACAGCGTCTTGGTTACTCTGGGTAATCCACAGACCTCACTGTCAGTTTTCTTTGTAACCACTTCTCAGTAAAAGGAACAAGGGAAGTGAATCTGGAAAGGCTGAATATTTATTTGTGAAACAGTTTTCAAAAGGGGTGAAGAAAACCGAAAACTACCTGCATGGCTAGAGAGATCATTGGAGTAGAATTTTGCAGTTGGGTAAACCAAAGCCTTCATGTCCTCAATAATAAAAATAACATTCACCAACGGATTATATAACAATGGCAAAATGCCCATTTAAACAAATACACTAAAATAAAAAGCTGCCAGACTCTTTTAAATGTTGGCATTTTGGAAAGTAACTCTTGCTATGAGCCATTCCTGTGGCAGTGCACTGATGTATTGGCAGATTTCTGCAGCTTTAAGCCTTAACACGCACTTGACAGGACACCTGCACACACACAGACAGCAGAAAGTGACCCGAACGAGGATATGAAAATATAGGAAATCCATCATGCTTACAGCCCACTCTACAGGTAGAGTGGGCGTAGCTTTGCCTCACCACAGCATCGGGCTTCCAGTGAGTGACAGGTGGAACTGGTTCAATAGGTGCGCCCTCTCTCAGCAAATCACAGCTCAACAGCTCCACTCCTGGACCCGTAGGACATTTAAGGCGCAGGGAAAAGATTTCAATATGCATTTGTGATGTTCAGCATTTCTACACCAGCTTTAACTGGTGATGTGCTAGTCTAAGCTCGCTAAACAGAAACAAATTAACAGAATACAAAAAAGAGAAAGAATATGATTAGCCAATGTATCTTATGGTGTTATGTATGTGTCAAGCAGATATGTATGTCAGAATGAAAATGTATCATTTACAGCATTGTGGAAACATTGTAATTAAATGTTGGACTATTAAGGTGCCAAACACAGATATTTGAAGTAGCATATATGCTGGCATAAATTACACAGGTACATTATTATTTTGTAATCGTCGGCGTAATTTGTCCACTCAAACTATTTTACACCAAGTATCCATAGCAACTCAAAATTAGCGAACCAGAACTAAAAAAAAAAAGACTATTGGAAAAAAAGTGCATCAATGTGAGAAACCAAAAACCACTTCAGGACAACCACATACAACAAAATATATGAAGGATGTGGATATACAGCTGTCATCTAGTACACACTGGAGCTGAAAAACAAGACTACACCAGTACTTTCAACCTCAGTTTCAGCTGGTTCTCTTTTACCGATATTGTTCATATAAAATGAATCCGACGAAAACCCATAAACTGAAACAGTGCTTTGGGCGACAGAAATACACTTCTATCCACTACCTGGGAGATGTTTGCTGATGATATGTGCCGTCTCTGTAGCCCTGGCCATGCTGGAGTGGACCAGAACATCATACTTCAGCCCCAACGCTGCCAACCGCCTGCCCGTCAACTCAGCCTGCTCCCGGCCTGTAAATGCAGACGCAAAGGTCATCAGAACAAATGAGTGAAATGCCTCTCCAGACTGCTGCCTGGTCCACTTTCCAGGTGACATAAGGCCAAATAAGGACCTAATGGAGTGAGGATCCTGTCCTTGTCGCTGGTCCCACTCAGGTTGTACTGGGAGTGTCTGATGAGGAGGATGTTGCGGGTAGCTTTTGGTTTGCCGTTGTCCTGCTCCGAGCTGGGGTCTTCAGTTGCAGTCTCTTTCTTCTTCCCATTGGTCAGTGTAGACGGGTCTCTCCTGAACAGAGTTAAGACGAGGTGATCTTGAGATTAGAAGTGGCTTTGTCTCACATGGTTAAGTTGAGGGATGGAAAACTAGGTTAACACAACTAGGATTTAAGATATTTATCAGTATGATAGTGTGAGGAACTTCCACACAGCTAGACTCAGTTTTAAAAACTGTACTTGTTGCTGACTGACTTGTAAACTCTTGGATTGGGCATGGATCCAAATACTTCAGTGTAGTGTATTATTAAATCGCTGTATGTTTGACAGAGATGTGACGTGGCGTTCAACCCATATAAAAGTGGCAGGAGGAAAATGGAGGTAAAGTAACAGTACTAGGTTAGCTCCGTTTAATAACCAAACAATACGAGACAACGCGTGCAGAGGGGCTTACTTATCCCAGTTGAAGTCCCACGAGTGTCCAGTCGGGGCTGGTGTGTGGCTGGCAGGTGTCCACGCCGGCTGCGCAGCTTGAAGGACGGTGAATCTGGACCACCGCCTGGCCGCCTCTCCGCGCTGCTCACCGAAGTATCCGCGGGAGTCGGCGGCCGCGGCCGCGAACACGAGGACGGCCGAGCCTCCAGCGAACCCGCAAATAAGTTTCAAAGTCTTCCTGTACGACATCCTGCGAGACGCCGAACAAGCGAACTACTGCTAGCTAATTAGCTCAGCTTAACTGGTTTACCGTGAACAAGGTGTAACGCCGTCCTCCTCACAAATAAATGGATTTATTTCGCCAAAAATGGCGTTTGAGTGTCAACTCCAACTCCAGCAAGAGAAACAAAATACGGCTTTTGTGGTATAAATATCTAACAGGCGGCGGCTCTTGCCCAGAAACTAAAAATACAGCCCGGCACAACAGATAGCAAGCTAATCTAGACAGTTTCCCACAAACATTACGGTGGCTCGCCCCAGCCAAAACACTTTGGCATTTTCAATTCGCAGAAACCCCGACATGTGCCACATGAGGGCGCTCTAATCCCTGAATCCACAGCAGCAGCCCTGATTCCTCTCCGCTCTCTGTGAGCGGCACCGTAAGCTCCATTCAACATGTAACGTTTAAGCGGGGCTAATTCTGTTTGAGCTCCGGAGACACTGGTTTACAATTATAACCCGCACAAAGCATCACACATTCCCGGCTTCTTCCATCGTTTATTTTGGTGATAGAGGGCTGTGGACGTAATGGGTAATGTTATTTTATAGATGCCCCTTGGTATACAATAACCACACCGAATTTAAGAGTGGACGTCGACTCTTTGTAAAAACCTATCATACCTTGCTTGACCTTGTGTGTACGCGTGTAGGTAAACAAAGCAACAATAAACCGCCAGATTGCAAATGAAGTTTGGTGTTGCACTCACACTGCAGTGCAGCTTCCAGACCATTGGACAGCTATACTTAACTCCTCTTAAACTTCGGGACACTTTTTGATATTAAATTAATTGAATATACAGTAATAGTTAGAGCCTGAGAGCATTTGGGAGAGAGGTAGATATTTTTTTTATATTCGCGGAAACTCCGGTTAAGATAAAACAAGTGCAGAGTGACTGTGTCTTCCGACGACATGCATGCTGATCAGGTCCGATCATTCTCTCATGAAGACGCTTGCGGGGTTTGCACACAGAGGCTCCACCTTTTCGAGCGGTTCAGTGACCTCAGCAGTGGGCTGGATTGTAAGGGTGGGATTTCCAGGCTTTCAGAGAGCTCGGTGTATTCCTGCCTCTCTGTCCGAGGATCTATGCGGCTTCAGCGATAGCAAACACGGACTGGTTGTACCTTTAATAGCCATAGAAAGGCCTGTATACTGCATACCGGATCCCTTTTCTACATGCGACTCCAATCGGAATAAATAATTGAGGAATGTGGAAATTACAGAATGCCCAACAGCGCTGGAAAGAGATTTAAACCCACCAAATACATCCCAGTGTCCACTGCTGCCACACTCCTTGTGGGATCGACCACTTTATTTTTCGTTTTCACGTAAGTTTGCATCGCTTCTTGTTCTCATTCGTTGCACGCCGGGGTTTAAATACACTGTGTGGCTCCACATTGCACAGGCAGGAGTGGATTTGCAGCTCGAAGTTTGCATGGGTGGATTCAGTCACTTAGGTAGAATAAGTGTATCTAGAGTGTATCTATCCCAACGGGGGATCTCGCAGCGGTTTTGAAATGGGTTTGCAAAAAGCAGCTTTATATGCTGCTTTCATGGGCAGCCTGAGACAGACCATTCAGCCATTATACCTGCAAGGCAAACTTCCAATAAGCCGGGCAAGTTGAACAGCGCTATGATCCTGCAGGAGAACACATCTTAGGCCGCAGATACTCACTTTCCATTGAAGAAATGCCGCAGGCAGTAGTTGGTACAATTAAAATGGTTGCGCTGGCCCAGCAGGCTGTTGTTGTGTTTGACTCATGCACACTCCGTTGGGACAGTTACAGTGTCACACAACCTATCCAGAAGCATTACAATCATTCTAGGCTTGAGGCTCCCAGAGTGAAGCCCCAGCTAGGTCTACAGAGCCACCGTGTCTCACCTAATGTCTATGCAGTCATTTAGGTTTTCCCTTTGGAGGAAAATGAGAATTATGGACAACCTGTGACCGAGGCCAGCTGGTCCTTGCACTCTCAGAAGCAGGTATTAATTCAGTTCAAGTGAATGTCTGTTCTGACATGCAGGTGACTGTGGTTCATCCACACCAGCAATCAGGTTCATTACATAGTCACATAGCCAGCATCACAGTCATGCCAAGGACCCCTCTCACGTGGGACGGCTTTCATCCCAGGCCCTTCCATCTGATGAATTAGGAGCATTGTAGGAAGGGAGATAACAGCAGACACAGTGATGTCTCTGGTCTGATCTTCATCGCCACATATTCTCATCTATTGCTAAGGACTGTAGGGATGGATCCTCAAACCTTTACCCTGTGCACAGTCATTTTGTCTACCAAAGAATAATGTGATTGTTCTCCCTCCATTGTGAAGGGTTTTACATTGTTTTAAAGACCTTGTGTCACTGTGGCTGATGGGAACATGATGGATGTGTTTGCTTTATAAGCTATTTCTATAATTATAAATACATTTTTACTTGATGTGTCTCCAGGTAATAGCTGTAGTGGATGTAGGGTTGTGTGTACCATTTAAATCATTTATTGCTTGTTGACACTAGATCTGTAATGGATGCAAAAGTGTGATTCAGTGTGTTCTTGACTTGTATGAACAAGATTTGTCCCACCCGGACAAATGCAGGAAGACATGGAAAATGCTTTAGCTGCACCCTGAGTGGTTTTGCACTCTCAGTCTCAGGTCAATGACTGAGACTGAAGGAAACATATGGTGTTTGTGGGTTGTGTCGACAGGTTGGATTGTAGCTTTAAAAAATCCCCAGCACTCCTTGGTGCACTGTCTAGGGCTTTGCATAAACAAATGGCCTGATTTACAAGTCTTCATTTAGAACAAATACGCTGTGATTTAATAAGAGATCTGCATTTCAGATATATTGTTCACTCATAGCAGTCAGAATCTTTGCTGCCTAGCGGTTTTTGAAAAATAATATTGATGCCTCTTGTGTTGGGGTTCACTTCAATTCACACATTAAGGATCATCCCCCGGCAGATGGTTCAAGGGTAAGGATTAAGTCTTTACTCTGTTGCTCCTTCATTTGCCAGTAAAAGGTCCAGGGGATTGAGTCACATATAATGGAACCCCCTGGGGAGCTGTGAACTAGGCCATGCCTCCTCATTCTCAAACACACATTGAGTCCATTATGTTGAACCCAGTCTAGCCTTGTCTTTGGCCTGAGTGCAACGCTACACATTTACAGTGCAGGCCACAGAACAGTGGTATACCTTCATCTAAACTGTCTTAAGCAGAATTACATATAACAAGTGCAAAGGTTTTTAAAAATTCTACATTTCTATGTCACCGACATTCACAAACATAAGACAGGCAAGGGTTAAAACTACTAGACCCTCATATACACTCATGCCAGGCACACACATCTTTTTATATTCCAAGGCCAGAGTGTGTTAAAGGTCTCACTGTTGCCAGCAGGCCACTTGGTGTCATATGGGCAATGGAGGATGAGATTTGGGGCCAGCACTGGCTCCCACACACACTGTCCATGGTGTGTCTCTGTGTTTGGCTTACTGACGCCTGACAGTTTGTGTTTCCCACAGAGATTGAATTAGAACACATTAGAACAGAATTATTTATATCTTCACCACAACCCATCACAAAAAATACAGATGATAAATTAAGCTTTTAGTCATGGTTTAGCCATCATAATATTATCCCGGCCTTATCTGGGTATATAGTGAGATTCTATTATGCAGTAGCTTAGACCCCTTGCTATGTCTAAATTTGTTCCAGCTCTGTTTGGTTGCAATGGAGAAGGTTTTTTACCTTTCAGTAATTCCTTAGAATGGCTTCATCACTGGCCTTGACCATGTGCCAAATGAATAACTTGTTGAGGAAACAGAGCGGCAAGGCTGGCCGTTGTCATTTGTTGCTAAGCCTAATAGTCCATACTTTAGAGCATGCATGGATAGATGTGTGGGAACTATCAATTGATCATCTGGACAAGACCTGCGTTCAGCAGTTTTTTCTGTGTGGATGTGAATTATGAGAGAGGTACTCAGTGGTGGCAGTTGGAGCCAGCATATCACCATGCTGAGAGCAGAGCTGCACATGAGAGCAGGCCTGACAGGAATCTAATCTTCAGCTTCCACATCTGTTTCCTCCTTTTCACCGTAAATCCACTGAATCAGACTTCATTCAGCTCCTACTGCATGCATTGTTTTGCGTTTGTGCTCCACTCAAAGGTTCATGTAGAGATTTTTAAAGGTATTTCCGATTCTTGGTTGAAAGAGTGCAGAGTTGTTGAAATATAGGAAAGAGGGATGACCGTTAATCATGATGCACTGTTAAAACAAGTGCTCCTATATTTAACCTCTTTGGTTCTACATCTTGGTACTATATGGTTTCCTTAAATGGTTCAGTGGTTTACAGGGTTAATTATATAGAACCTCTGTTTTACTGTGAAATATGTGGGAAACAGGTGGCCACATTTCCACAGCACAGGATTTTTAAAATCTTTTCTCACAAAAAGGCTTGTAGTATAGAAGTGTAGTGTTCCTCCGTTAATCTAAAGCAATACAGAGACACTGATACAAAGAATGCATATAGCTATAGGATAAAACTGAGCCACTTAACTGTTTCAAGTGCTCATGCCAAAGGAACAGACAGTTAAAGTGCAAGAGAATAAAATTGAAATAAAATGGAATAATGTGAGTTAGCCAAAATTGCACACTCACACTCCACCCCCCCACCCCTCCTCTGTGTACACCTCGGCTGTATGTAACATTGTGGTTTCCCCTGTCTTATTAATTGAAGGTCTAAAAGCATAATTGAATGTTTGTTCATTGATCCTAATCCGCATGCTGCGTGTGATGATGTATGTTGAGCTGCTGTCGTCTTTTTGTCAAGGGGCTTTTCGGTAAATAAGCTTGTAACCATTAACGCCTCACTGCTTGGTATTAGTGTCCATTAGAGCCGGTGTGCCTTCCTCCTGTGTGGCGTTAGTGGCTTGGAGGCGCCCCGTGTTTGACTGTAGTTAAATCAATTGTTGGTTAGAGTCGTCCTGTTTACGCTGGGTGCGCAAAGCCAGCCCATCTTGGCTGCCTGTTTTAAATATTGCTCGTGTGACATTGGGACGGATTTGTGTTTAGTTTGTTTATTTAAATGTGTGATTGAGAATATATTGCCAAGTTTGAGACGTCACCGGGGCAGAGCATTTCTCGGAAGGAGGAAATTGCCAATTGACGTGTTATTAATACGCCGTTGTAGATCCGCCTGTGCTCATGAACAAGCATCTATCAAATCTAGAAACCAGAGGATCTCAACCTCCCTGGTGTGCTACTCATGCACAGCATACTGACTAATGAGCAGGGCCCTTTGACATGCTCACACAACTTTAACCTCCAATCAGCCTTTACAAAAATATTCCATGATTCCCACGAGAGCAGCAAATTTCAGCTCTTAAGGCAGGCTCATCAGTTTTCAGTATAAATCTTCTTTTATTTATCGTCAACATGTCCTGTCATCAGAAACATTCACTGAAATATTATTATTCTGTCCTCACACACTGTCACGGCATTGGGTTTCAGCCCTTCATCTGAGTTAGGTAAGGAGCTATCCTGCCCCCATGTCACACAGAGGATAAAAATGTGATTATCTTGACCAAAAGCAGCCGATAGACGCACAAGCTCACCAGGGCCAACATATTCCCTTGGCCTATTCATAAAATCCATGTAGTGAAGTCTCGTGGTTTGTTCGAGATAACTGCTGTATTTTTTTTTTCTCACTGGGGGTAAAACCAGCAGCAGGTCGTGTGGTGTGACTAGCTTTGTCAGATGATTAGATAACGGTGTAATTTCCTCTGCAGCTCCTCGTCCATCAGCAGCGTGGAGTGAGGGCCTGGAGACGAGTGCAGTGCAGGGTTGTGTCACCTCTGTTTTCAGAAGGTACTTAAGGTGACAGGCAATAATAACTGGAAAGAGGTATATGGTCACATTTATAAATTGACCTTTTTGTCTGTGTGGTGGTTTGTGGTTAATTTGCATTCGTATTGTGGTTTAGGGTTTACCACAAGGCATGTTTCCAACCCGATCAGCACACATTGTAGACCTATCCCCTGCAGCTTCACAGCCTTAAAGGATCAGTTCATTTTACTTCAACCTGACGTATTACCTATACATTTGGCGTTTGTTGCTCTATGGGTCACACTTACTTTGCAAACTCTACCTTCGTTGTAGAGATGTAGAGTGACTGACTTAATTCACTTCGAAGTATTTATACTGGCAAATAGTCTGTAGCCTGTGTTGTGTCCCATCCCCCAATGTCCTCATTTCATCAAGCAAAGAAGCTCCTTTGAAATTCAGTTTCTTTGATACCATCATGTAGCTCCAATCTGAGGTACTTTC